ATGGGTCGCCCGCTCATCCAGGTGAGCTGTAGGTTCTGTAACAGGAAATATTCTACTTGTCAACTTAGAAATAATGCAGGTATTGAAAAGTGATGCAATTTTGAATCATTTGACATTTAAGTGGTGTTGCACCAGGGTTGAACTCACTTCTGTTGCATACTTAATAACTGCAGGCCTGATTATTCCCAATAGTTTTACTAAACTGGATATAATAAAATAGATGATGCATTTGAGAAGCCCTGACAGCAGACAGACAACCAGCTCCAGGAGAGGACACGTGTAAGACACCCGGTGCTCAGTTAGCATTAGATCTTTATTTCTCATGTCACTTTGAAAGCTTACAAGGAGCTTACATTTAAATTGGGAATTCTCAAATGACACAAGCAAAGATTATATACAGTACTATAAACTGTCAGCTATGATAAAGGAGACCAAATGTACACATTTTGTAGTTATTTCCGTAGCATATGTTTTTCTGTAAGGTATAGATTTTTTTTTTTTGCCAGAGGCAGGTGCCCATATCCATAAAGCATTCCATATTTCCATACTCAACTCTTTGCAGTTACAAAAATATCAGATATTTCTTAATTTCTTTCAATCCCTGTGTTGACAAGTGCGTCTTGATGCAACTCCTCAACATTATTGCTGCATTAGCACAGTAGTAAATTCTGGAACTCTTAAGTAAACATATATAGTAAAACATGGCTATTAGCAACATTTCTCGGTTTGTTTGTTTGTTTGTTTTTTTCCTCCGACAAGTTTCTTTAAATACTCGACACACTTTCAAAGTGCAAAAAACTGATCTGAAAATTAGAAAAAAAAAAAAGGTGCAAATCATACTACAAATATCTGGTGAAAGCGTAACAGAGGACATGGCACTTCTATAGTACGGTGTGGAAGTGAGAACAGAAATGTCTGGAGTGAGGATAATAAGGATGGCGTTCCATTCTGCAGCTTGGCTTGTCCTACGGTTTCATTTGGCCATGAGCAAAGTGTCATAATATGATTGCCTTCTATGGTCCTTGCCACTTTTTCAGCGCCTCCACTTTAGTTTCTAAGCACTGCTAAGGAGAAATTACAAGCCGAGGAGAAATAATACTTCACATGATACCAGCGTTCCTCTTGTAATCGTCCTCTACCTTCATTCTTGACCTACACAATTTCAAAATTGATAAATTGTCTAAACATAAGCGTAGGAAGCGGTTTCCCCCCGACTACTGTAACAAAGGAAATGCTTCTGGCTCTAAACAAAATAAGTTTAGTATCGTAGTTAGTTTGATGATTCAGCAGGTGATTGAAATGGAGGATTGGAACTCAGTCACTTCAAAAGCAAACACTGATGAATCTCACTCACCGACGAGCAAAAGAAAACTAACTAAATCTCGGATGAAATGCCAGAATGCAGACGTGTGCATCTCGAAAAGGCAAGGCATTTTCTGTTCCTTCTCTTGGACTAACTTTTGAGATCTTTAAATATCTACTTTTAAACATTATCAGTATCTACAAAATGCGCATGACCATTTTGTACACAGTGATTCATTTCCCGCAATGACAACTTGTAATCATGTACAGCATGGCGAGCCCCCCTCCCCTCCCACTGCCTCGGAGGACCAAGTCCACTTAAAGCACTTTACCTGAGGTTTCATTAAGAATGCTGCAATTTGCCTAAACAGGGAGTCTAACATACGCGAGAGAACACGTGCACACACACACACACACACACACACACACTCGCTCACAGATGCACACACACACAGCTTGCACACTAAGGTAATATCCCTGCAGGTTCATCAAGCATGCTTTCAGAGGTTCTGGGGATATGAGGCCTGCATTAAGAGGGGGGACTGAAGTCTTGCCGTAGATTTCAGGGGAGGTTTTCGGCTCCTTCGTTGAGCAGATTCCGTGAAGAGGCTCCGCCGTGTGACGCTGGAGGAGTCTCTCGTGTGCAGAGCTCAGAGTCCGACTTGGCCGTCGCTCCGACTTTGAGTCTTGTCCCATTCGCAGCCTTTTCAACAGGCTCTGCTGCCCCCGAACTTCTCCTCTTGTTGTTGACTAAAAGAAGCTCTCCGGAGTTTCTCTTTTCTCCTCCGCTTTGGAGTTCAGTAATTTTTACAGGCTAGGTTTAGTGCCCCCCCCCCTCCTCCCCACTCGGGAGGTCGAATGCAGTCAGCTGGTATTGAATGACTTAACCCCTGACTTGTAACCCTCTGGCCTGGCTGTGGTGTTGGTGGGGGCCTGGGAGAGCTGGGCTGGGGCAGAGAGCCAATCACTAGGGGGAAGAGGAGGATGTCCTGCTTGTAGAGAAACTGTACAAAACAGGAGACAAGAATAGAACAGCCTGTGGTCATCTGTTGCTCTGTCCTGTCACCGACTTGTGCGCTGTGAGTGTGAGTGGAGCCGTTACCTCTGGAGCCTGTGCACCATGTGAGCCACCAGGGAGTCGGAGATGCCGGGGTAGGCCTCCTCAGCCAGCAGGATGGCCTCCCTCAGCTCATCCAGGACTAAGGGGTTCCCGTTCACCTGCTCCTGTCGCGCCTTAAGCTGCCAACAAATGTGACACAATATGACTCAGTGCAACGTCTACAGCTGTGCTGGTAGTCGTATGTCATCTGTTTACATGTCGAACACTCTCAGGAGCCAATGACCTCACATGACCTGACAGTGTGTTGCTGATTGGACAGTTCTGATGATGTCATCCTACATCATGAGTGAGGTTACTGTCAGACACATGAGGGAAACTCTGACAGCAGGTGCAGCACTTTACAGACACGAGCTTCTTCCTAAGCTGCAGGTCACATGGAACCTGGGTACCATGGTTACCACGGTTACCACTTGATTTGCATGCAAAGATGCATACCTCACGAATGCAGATGACTTCAGTGATAGTTTTTAGTCATAAATCTTTAGAATGTGAGCATAGATGCAGTATGGTCATGGTTAGAGAAGCTGCTGATGATACGTAAACCTGGATGTCCTTCCCTCAATACCAGGGAGGTGCCTTTGAGCAAGAAACTGAGGCTGTGGTTATTCTGAACAGTTTCCAGGTTTGAATGGTGTATATATGTATTGTCATTAGTAGGGCTGCTGCGATTAGTCGTCATAATGGACAACGTTGACATTGATAATGGGTTTTTTGTGACGAGTTAATCCACACTGCAAAGTTTAATCGGCCTTCCTGGAGCCAAAATCTGCAACTTCTCTGCTCAAACTGTACGGAGGGCTGTACTATGAAGTTAGGTTAGTGGGTTATCAAGGTAAGTGGAGCCCAAAGTCAGAGTTTTCAGGGTCACTAAGGTGGTTCTCTTTTAACCTGGCTCGTTCTAAAGCTGAAATTCTGAATATGAGCACGAGGTGGGACCTCAACAGCACAGCTCAACACTTTGGTTGCAAATTGAACCTCTGGCTCAAGATAACGGTGCAAGTTTGATATATTTGAGCTTGACTTTTGTAGAATGGGTGGAAGTTGTGATGCACCATTTGATATAGTTGTATTTATGTGCAGACGATGGTGTGGAAGCAGGAGCAGGATCGTGCAGCACATCACTTGATCAAATGTAAAGTTCTCAAAGTCCAATCTAATCATTAGATGGGAAATACCAGAAAATGCTCTGTGAATGTTTATTTCATTATTAAAATAGTCAAACATTTAAAGAACAAGTGAACGGTGAGACTAACTGGTGTGACGATCACCCACATGGACTCCTTACCTCAGCTAATGCAGGAGAGATGACGGTGGCCAGGCTCTGTGAATAAGGCCTCTTTGGAATGTCTTTTGTCTGTAAAAACAGAGACACATGAAGATGGAACACAGTGGAAGGAAATCGAGGCAGTGCAGCTTCACCTGCTGCCTACATGTTTTCCCAAATAACGCTGCACCATCCTATCATCCCAAACAGCAAAAAGCTGATGATGTGACAGCTCATGCCTGACCTGGTCTGTTGCCCCCGACTGTCCCTCTCCGTTCTGTAGCTTCTTGGGGTCCTTCTCTCGAATGGTGAAGATCCAGTCATCACTGCCAAAGTCGTTCCCGCCCGACGCCTGACCATCCTGCTCTCTGGTTTGACGGATATTAAAGAGGATTTGGACATTTGTCTGGATTAGCGATCAAGTCATGCATAATAAGTGCTCAGAAAGTTTGTCATAAGAAATGTGGGAGGACAGGCGGCACAGAGGAGGCTTCTCTCCTGACACTGGATGTGTTTGTGTCCTTATTAAAGCAAGAGTAAAAAGCGCTGGTGGTGCAGCAAAAACAACACGACACAAAAGTCCAAATCCACTTACGAGTCTGACTCATCAGAACTAGACTCTGTGGTTCTAGACTGCTCTGCCTTCCACCTCTTGTACTTGTCAACCAGCTCGGTCAGGTAGGAGGTCTTTTTCGCATGGCGGACGATGAGTTTATGCTTCAGCAGCTCTTTGGCAGTCGGCCTCTGCAGAAAGGAGAAGTGAGAAGACCAGGTGATGCAGTCTGGCAAATTCTGCACAGACAAACTAACAACAACCACGACTTACAAAACTGGGCTCTTTGTTGAGGCAGGCCTCCACAAACTCCTTGAGCGGTTTGCTGTAGTTTCCCTCCAGTGTGGGCGGGTTGTTCTTTGGGATGAGGAATAAAACCTTCATGGGATGGAGCTCTGAGTGCGGTGGCTCGCCTTTCGCCAGCTCGATAGCTGTGATACCCAGAGACCAGATATCAGCCTGGAATGCACAGGAGACATGTAGTAACTGAATACACAGTATTTACACCAAAACACATCATAGCCAACAACCATAACTACCAGTGTTCTTCCTTTGGGCTCTCTACAGCAATCCACTGCTCCTTTGATCAGTGTGGGGTTTACATACACCTCGTCGCTGTCTGACCGTTTTTTTTTCTATTTTACAAAAAATGACTGAAAACAGAGCAGTAAAAAAACAGGAGCAAAAGTTTTTCAATGAGAATAAAGTGAAGTTTTGATGACATTTGATCCAGACAGGAGGATGCTGGCTCGGCTGGCATCCCTGTTGGAAACACCTCCCACCCCCAGCAGTGGGAAGCTTCACCTGCTCTGTGTGATGGAGACATACAAAGGTCCTTCCTTCCTTCAAGGTGCTGTCAGACTGTACAACCAGCACTGCTCCCAGTAAACTGCACTAACCCCAACCAGCATGTCAACATGTTCAACCTGTGCATTATCAATATTTTGTACATTTAAAAACTCTGCAACCCCAGCAAATGACTGGAAGCTTTGCCTCTGTAAATACAAATGTACATAAAATATGCAATCCTCAACACAGTCTCAGACACAGGCGTCAAACTCAAAATCTGGCCTGTAGTGTAATTATATTTGGCCCGCCAGATAATATCAAATGTCTGAGAGCTGGCCTGCTGGTAAATAGCGCATGCACCACTAGAACTACACATCCCAGAATGCTCAGCTAGTGCGCTGGGGCGTCAGTGAAGACTCACAAGCGTCCTCTCCCCCTTCTGTTAACATTTATCAGCAACCTTATGTCACAAAGAGTGGCCAAAAGAGAGAAAACAGGAGCTTATTCATTCAAATAAAAAGAAGGAACGAATGCCACTGATGTGACTTTTATTTAACATTTGATTTGTCGTGTTCCTAATATTCAGCTTTGCCTTTTCCACATTCAATATTTAAGCAAAACTTAAGTTTGTTTCCATATGAAACAGTTTATCGTTATATATCTGCAGGGGAAGGAAAACATGCACAATTGTGGTCAAGTTTTCAATAAATATCGAATCTGGCCCGCAACTTAGGCTCAGTTTTTAAATTTTGGCCCACTGTGAGTTTGACACCTCTGATCAAAGAAGCTGAGCCTACGATGACCAAAAGGACTTCCATCAGACTGCACAGTTAAAGCTGCTAGGAGGAAGCTCAAAATACATCCTAAGACAAGATGCTGTCATCAGCCAGTAGCTATCGAGCAGCTAAAACCTGGAAATAGAACAAAGTGAAGGCATGGTTACATTGGTGGGTAAACCGTGCACAGGAATTGTGTGTGGTGTGTGAGTAGAGGGGTTTCATGGAAAACTAAAAACTCACCAGGGAAGGGAGCAATGGTTTTAAGAGATGTAAAGAGTTGCATACAGTAGCAGTAAGAGCTGGAGGTTCTCAAGCAGGTGTAGCACATACGGTGTTAAAGTTGTAGCCTAAACATAGTTCCTGCTTTCTGACACTTTGGTGTTGGAACGACTTTGATGCGCTCTGAGTGTTATTTCAAAGTGTTCTTCTGACAGAGGGATGCAAATCAGTGCAGTTGTAGCGTGATGCTGTGTACAGTGTAAAACAACCGGCTGGCTTTGAACTCACCTTAGAATCGTAGGCCGACTGTTTGATGACCTCGGGGGCCATCCAGAAGGGCGTGCCCACAAAGGTGTTGCGTTTGATCTGCGTGTCTGTGAGCTGGCCAGCCACGCCAAAATCTGCCAGCTTCACCTCTCCTTGCTCGGACAGCAGCACGTTGGCAGCTGTTGGAGGGGATGGAGGGGGAGGGCAGGTGGAGGGTTAGTGGGATCCAGCTTACGCAGTGAAAAGCCTGCCACATCTTCAGACACCATTTATCCACATCACCAATTTATTTAAGAGGCAACAACTGTCAGAAGCCTTTTAGCGGAACGCAGCAGCGCTCACCTCAACTCCCCTGTGAAACATATCCTATATAATGAATGAAAGTGTAAGTGGACGTCAATACCATTAACCTGCGATGTGATATTTGTGTGCTCTGAAGCCGTTTCGTCGGGGGAAGCCTGTGTCCTCTGACAGCTGGTCGGTTACCTTTGATATCTCTGTGGATCTTCTTCTCAGAGTGCAGGTACTCCAGGCCCTTTAGGATCTCTCTCAGGATTGTAGCGATCTGGGTCTCATCCAGAGCTCCGGGCTCCATCTTTGAAAGAAAATCAAACAATCATAGACAGCTGTGGCTATCACATGAGCATCAGGGTGGATGATTACTAATTTGACTGAGAAATATTAGAGTAAAAACAAAAAGTCTGATTTAACAAGTCTTATGTTATCATGATGTGTTTTACTACCACAAAATAAAACCCCAAAACAAGCATGAATATATCCAACTAACAAGTACTGTATGTCTATTAAAGCTTCTCCAAATCAGAGCTCAGTTGTTGTCCAAAAGCTTTTGAAAACACATTAATAGTCCACAGTTACAACCTTTGACATGTTTCTTCATTAGCATTTAATAAACTATCACTGCAGTGTAGGTTTAGTCAGTCCCACAGACAGACAGGTGACAGATTAAAGGAAACACCATCACAGTATATCTTCGTACAGTGCTGGGCCACCATGTGCCACCAGAACATGGCACTGACTCTCTAAGTGTCTGGAGTTGCAGTTGAACTTCCAAAAGTTGGTTAAATGATCCTAGTTGGGCTGAAATCAGTGACTGTGAGGAGCATAATGAATGTGACTGCTCCTGTTCTATAGACGGGGAAGAGACCCTCCAACCAGGACAGAAATGCTGCATCACAGGATAAAGGCAATCACTATGAACAACTTTGTACTGTTTAGTAGTGACCCTTCACTGAGGTATAACAATAATTCCTTTAACATGTAACCTTTCTGTACATCATCCACAAATAGTCAGACCTGATCTCTATGATGCCACAGCTCAACAAGGTCCTGAATAAATGCATTTTTTACTTCATAAAATCAGAGTAGTTTTAACCACAGAAATCAAAATCATCGTACAGAAGTAACGTGCGGTCGCCATTAATTACGTTTGACTTTACAACCCCAAGGAACAGAAATCACAGCTCAGTATCTGCAGCTATGACAGTTAAGAGGACAACAAGTCCCTACCAAAGGCTGTACTTCCATCACTGAGCAGCTGTTTGAGGACATTACTACGCCCTTTTTAAAAATGAAAAACTGTATGTTTGTGAACCTCAGAGGTCAGAGAAGCACGACCAGAGACTAAAGGCCAATTCTTGTTTGCTATGTATGTGTTTGTGACGTGACAAACTTCATCATCCACTCTAAGTCTGTGAGGGAACCTGTGGACATCTGTGTGCACACCTCAGGGATCATCACCCTGACGCGGTGCTGCAGCCCAATCTGCAACCAGCTGCTGCATCCTAGTAAAAATGCAAACTAGCAAGCAGCCTTTCAGACAGATCCATGGGAGCCCTGTGTGTTCTATGCATAGGCCCACATTGGCTGTCTGCTTTCAAAGTCTGCACAGGTCACATAGAAACCTTCACGGGATTTGCAGACAAAACGTACACATACACAGTTCTTTAGATGTATTAAAATGAGTTTGGTGTAACTTGCCATCGTCTGTGAATATCAACTGCAGGCGTCAGTGGCGCTGAAAGAACCAAAAACTTGATGTGTCCAGGTAGAAAAACATCAGTTACTCAAAGCTCGCTTGTGAACAGTTTATTTCCTACTTCTCGTCTCTTCCTACTCACTTTCCTTTTTGTTTTCTATTAAAGGAAGCTAGCCAGTGGGGTCACCAGGGCATCGCTGTGTGGGGACTGTCTTTCTGATTAGATAGGGAGCACTAGTGTGAACAGTGTGGTGTCAGAGTATATTCAGGGTTTCTAGCAGTGCTCTGTAGTGATGCCCTGCTTTGCCTGAAATGAAGAGAACCTCCACAAACATCAGAAGACCTTTTTATTAAACATAATATTAAGCTGAAGAAGTGACACTACAGCAAACAGCAAAGGGCACATTTAATGGAGACTGCTGAAGCAGTGATGATGAGATTCACCAGCATGTACGCCACAGACGATAAGGAAAGTTCTGCATGTGTTGGTCTTCAGGCTCAAATAAAATAATGCATTAAAGTAAAGCTTTAATTTGAGTCAGTTTACATCAATATAGAGAGGATTGTGTGGGAGAGAGCTCTTTCAAACATTTCTAAAGTTGTTGTTGTGAAGGCTGTGCTATTTAAAACATTCACACGCTGCTAGAATTCTTGGATGTCATGTTTAACACTACCTAAAGTATCTGCATTGCATTTGCTGCTTTCAAAGTGAGCAGATTAATCACAGAACATGCAGATTCCACCTTAAATTGTGCTGCTCATATAAGAAGGCACTGAGCGATAAAAAGATGAGCGAAGACCAGTGAGATGTGTGGAGCTGCCTGTGTTTCCTACAGTTTCTGTGGCAGAGGACATAACACCTGGAATGCTTTTGATGCAGCATTTAAAACTCAAATATTTCTTTTTATTATAGCTCCCCTCTGATCAATAACAAAGTGCTCAAACCCTGACATTTTATTGTCTGTTAGGGTGACACACAAAGAAAGCTCAAAGTGAAGAACTTACCAAATCTAACGCTGAGCCTCCACCTAAGTACTCCATAATGATCCATAGCTTTGTGTCCTGGAACATGGGAGACAGAGAAAGAGAAGGGCAGCCATTAGGTGCGTTGATGCATTTGTGCAGAAATATTCACAGCCGCTTCATCGAGGTGGTTACTGGCTTATCGTGAGCCGGGTACAGTCCTAAACAAGTCATGATGACACTAATAAGGGCTTGGTGGGTGTCTGAAGTCGTGTGAGGCTAATCCCTTCTTAATTTTGGATTATTCAGGGGGAAAAGTGGGCAGAGGAAGTAAAATCTTTGTGTCTTATCCTATTTGCTCACTTGGAGGTTTGGCTACACATGCAAAACCACTTAACGAGAAACTTAAAATGCACATTATATTGACAAACATCACCTTCAGGTATGAGCCGTAGTACTTGGTGACGAAGGGGCTGTCGCATTGGCTGAGCACGGTGATCTCCTGCTGGATGTCTTCAATCTCGTCCTCCGCCTCCTCCAGGTCTATGATCTTAATGGCCACTACCTTCTGTGTGCGATTGTCGATGCCTTTGAACACCTCGCCAAACGAGCCCTTGCCAATGCGCTCCAGCTTGGTGAACAGCTCCTCTGGGTCCACTCTGGCATTCTGGCAGTTGACAGGCGGGGGGAACAAAGCAGGGGAGGAAAGGGAAGGCGGATTTAAAATAAAAAAACAAAAAAAAAAAAGAAAGAAAAAGGAATGTTTGAAAAGAACTGAATGTTGGGGAGTAAATAGGAAACACCAGCAGGGTGCCATTCTTCCAGGATACATTAATTCACTCATTGCAACACCTTGTGTTTATGTGCACAGAAAGAAAGACACAGGAGAATGAAGGGGAAAGAGTGTAACAATTGGATAACATGCAGGTTAAAAAAAAAGCATTTAAATAAAACAAAATAAGATTTTAGTCCTTTTAATACCCAGCTGCACCTCGGGGGTTTATGTGTGCTGATTATTTTCTATAAAAGGGTCCAACATTACGTCTTTAACGCTGTTATGTCTGAACAAGAGCGCAACAACTAAACCTTTTATAGCACTGCAAAAAATCAAACTGTATTTGAGAGATTTTTGCCACGTTATTGACAAAAAACAACAATTATTAAACTGACTGAAAAACCTTTTGGACTAATCAGTTGGTCAATGATTGTTGCAGCTCAGCTTTGGACACCGTAGACCAGGACCAGCGGGTTTAACCTCCGTCTAAACAGTCCTCTGTGTTTATTCAAACAATTCTTTATACACAAAGCACCTTTAGCAAAGTGAGCACAGTAAATATGGTACAGCTATGTGCACCCACAATGCCTTTCCTCGAGTGGTGAACCAGTCAATAGAAGGCTTCTAAAGGTTCTGGGGGTCAGAGCTGCATCACATCAATCATCACATCACTTTCTTGTAGCTGTAAGTCTAAAGCTTATACACTACATCTGTACAGCAGTCATGGTAGCAACCTGAATGTACAGCATGTTTGGGGAATTCTTCATAAATTGGTAACCAGCGTAATGAATAGGTCCAATGAAGTGTGCGTACAAATGAATGGAATGCTTTAGGCACACCAGCTCCCATGAAGATGCTTTAATTCTCTGATCATGGGGTGGCTCAGCAGCCAAATGGTTATGAGATGTCAAGGTATGCATGCTCGCCCTGAACAGTTTGGTTTGATGTCAGACTTCCACAGTGTCCAAACAGTTGAATTGTGTTGCAGTCCTGGACTAGAAGTTCCACCGACAACATGATCCTCTGACGCTCACAACAGAAACAAATACATCAACATGACACACGGATACCAAATCTTCTAAGTAAACCCGATTTGTGCTCAATTTAAATACATCTTAAATGAAAAGCATTAATTTTGAGCTGGTGGTACCTTCATGGAACTTAAGGCTGAGTCTTGTGAAAACTATATGTGACATAACGAGGACAAAATGATCAGAACGGTTTCTGTGTATCACCCATAGCTATTCTCTTTTTTCTGATTGCCTCGATTTATTGGCAGTGCTGCAGCTCTGAGCCTGTAAATGAGGCTGCTTGTGCTGAAATGCAGTGATAACTATTTAACACCAATTTACTGAGCAGATGCAAGGTTAAGACATTATTATAATACCAAGGAAGTGCAGTTGTATGATTTTAAACTGTTCACCTGGTCAGACAAGCGTAGGTGAATCTGTGACTGGTATATTAATGCGGGAAAAGATGAAACTGTGTTCAGAGAATCTGCTGACAGGCAGGCATACTTTAAACTTTTCCAGGGTAGCGCACTTTTTCATGTGTATCTGAGTGTGGAATGAAAAAAAAAAAAACCTCGCTGAAAGTCGCAGGAAGTGAACTAACATGACGTAACTCTCCAGAGGCTGGTATGTGGGAAACACAAGAGCAGGAGCTGACAATAACAACTTCCTTTTATGCCCGTTTTTCAGCAGAGAAAAGGTCAATATGTCCATTTAGAGATGACTAATAATGAAGTAGCTGCCTTATGCAAGGAGGGATCCACATGTCACTAAAGAAGATCCTGTTGGTGCCTTTAAAGAGATTAACTCAAGAAATTAAACTCTGCTAAAGAAAAGTGTGTGGAACAGATAAAGAAGTGATAAAAGAATGTTTTTTAAAAAATTTAAAATATGTTTAGTGACAAGGTGTCAAACTGAGAACGAGCCTCAAGTCAAATGTCAAACTAATACTGCCAAATGTCCAGCTCACAGTTCAGGGAGAAGACCTCAAATAAATGTTGAAAAGTTCAAATGACAAGCAGCTACTTCAGTGGCACTTGTGTTCTCCACTTTCATTTATGCACAATCGCTGCTAACAATCCTAATCTGATGCACAGCAATGACTACTTGGAGTTCAGGTCATTATGTCCTGAGATTGTTGCTGCAACGTTCCCAGCGGTTCCTCTGCATCTGATATGCATCCTAGCCTAGATTCTGCACTTATTGACATGCATACCAAAGACTCACAAGTCTGCAAACAGTTGCGTGAAGTAGTTTACATTAGGAACAGATATCTCCTCCAGTTATCATCCCTATAGGCACACTCCTAAAGATAGCAGCAGGGCCAAGAACAAGGCTCATGTGTGCATGGCTTTGTACAGTGGAGCCAGAGAGCTTCACTCTCTTCTAAGTGACTCAAATGTTGTGTTCAAAGCACGTCTTCATAGTTCAAGTTGAGATCAACTGCAGGCATGACAAGAACTAACTCATCATGCATCCACTCTGCACAGGTACAGGTCTGTTGTAGAGGTGTGTTTAGTTTCCAGGCATGCACTTCCTCTGGTTCGCTCTGCAGTAATAAGCAGTTATTGAAATATTTTCTACCTCGAGGATGCTCCCGGAGCACCTGGGAGCTCCAGCGCTGTGTAGGTGTTCAGAGCACGAACCGCAGCAGGGAATCAAACAGTGTACATTTTGTTCTGACAGTGACCTCAACTACTTCCTGCGGGATAAACTTAAAAGACACGTATGTAGCTTACCTGCATCCCCGGCAGGTTACCCTGAACGGGAGAATGGGCCATGGTGATGCAGACTGGATTTGCGCCTCGTCCAACAACGCAGGGCTCAGATGTGCTCGGCTTATGTTTACAGTCCCGGCTGTGGTACAGTTAACGTTAGCGGTCCTGTGGGACGCCTGGTACCCCAGGTCTGCTGCCAGCCGTGTCAGGTACTTTTTTGTAGATGGGAAAATGTCCTTCGTTCACACAGCAGTGTACCTTTTCCTGTGTCGGAACAACTCACCTAAAACAGCTGAGCAAGCTAACGGACGTCTGCTAATGCTAACTCTAAAGCTGCAAACAAGAAATCCGCAATGGTAGCTTGCTAACCAGCTGGCTAAGGGTTAACTAGTGCCTTAAATTCAATTGATCACTCATGGAAGTTATGCTGCTGCGACAGATTTTAGTTCTCAGTAACGAAGACTTAGCAGCAACTATTCATTTCATAATGATCCTGTCACTTTCTCAAAGCGTATTCTCTCCCGAGCGATGTTGTCAGCTAGCTAACATGGTTAGCGGGTTAGCTCGCTAGCCAACGCAGGCAACCTGACAAACGTTGTGTCAGTGAGCTGCCTCGGAGCACAATCCGTGTGCACACAGCGACGGTCACCCGCAAAACGGAGCCTCGAACGAACCCAGCGTTTGTCTTTGCACTAACTTGTCTCGAGTAGATCTACAGGTCTGGCATCTGCGGCAAGGATAGCTCGCCAGTGTTTTTGTTTCCTCCCTCACTTTCGTCCCGTACCCTCGGCCATCTTGTCGGTGATGTGACGCCTGGCTGGGCGGATCCGGATCCGGATCAGCAGCAACATCCTGACGCCCCCCCCAACCTACCCAGGTGCTGGTGCCAGGTGGAGGGATGGAGGTCCGCAAACTTTTCTCTTTTTTAGTTTACAAATGATCTACTTAAAGATCCTTAGTGTTACACCACAGAATCACCACAGAGGGGATTTCACTCCTGAGCTGTAATCTGCTGAACTGGTCCTGAAGTCCAAGTGCTGCTCACATAACTAACAAACCCCATCCTCACTTCATCTAAACTATTACATCTACATTCAACTTATACACGGGACCGTGTAAAACCCTGTCAAGGAAGCCATGGAGCAGTGTCCTGCACACACTTCACTGCAGTACCACAGTCATCTTTTATCAGAAATCAGAAACAGATTTATTGCCAGGTATAGTTTACACAAGACCAGAAGTTTGTTCTGGTTGGTTGATGCAACAATAAATACACAGTGAGGTACAATGTACAAGATAAAAATATAAAAAATAGCTACAAAAATAAAATTAAAGTCACTAAAAATAAAAATAACAGTAGAAGTGCAAAGCAGAAGCAAAGATATTGTGCAGTAAAGAATTAAGTTAAAATAAGAACCATAGAACTGTAGTTATTTACAAGAATGTTGAGGGTGCACATATATTGATATTTACATTTACATGTGTGCATTTATACTACAGTAATCAGATTACATAATGTTGCATATCCCTGGAGTGAGATAACACAATTTGCATTATGAGTAAGTCAAATCAGATTGTGCAGGTTTCCCCGGTTGGACGGAGCAGCAGCAGCCTGGTGGAGCTTCGTGGGTGTCACCAGAGGAGGGCGTCCGTGGATCGAGCTCAGCAGCAGCAGCAGCATCCTTCTTGTGTAATCTGGAGGCTGCTGATGCCGGTGCATCGCGTGCTGCGGCGACACAAATAATGATGGGATGGTGGGGGACATTTCTGCAGTTGGTGTGTTTGCTGTGTGGCCAGGCACGTCTAATGTAACACCATGCAATATACAGTAGTGCTCAGAAGGCTGCAATAATGATGATGGTGGATGCTTGTGAGTGTTCTCCAGCAAGGGCCTGTTGGATGGGAAAATCCACATGGGTACCTCCAGTAAGAACATGGCTGTGCAGTTAGTGGTGCTGCATTTGAATTTAAACAGGGATCTTCTAAATTGATTTTCCCCCTTAATTGCAGCCTGTAAGTATAATATAAGCAAACGGAGTGATACACCAGCCACCGGAGAATTAGGCTAAAATACATCAACGTATGTCCAATTGTGTTATTCTAAATATATATTCATGGATGATCAGCCCCCCAAAACACATTTCTGTGTACAAGTCTGCGCACAGAGCCACTTGTGCGCCTCATGATCGCAGCGTCCAGCGCTGAACGCGTGTAATGGGAAGCACTACCTCCCTCCTTCATGCGTAAATTATGTAGGGCAGGACGGGAATGCTTTGCTACCTCCATTTGAGAAAACCCGGCCAGTAATTGTGAGGAAGGAAAAAGAAGAAGAGAGAAATCAAATCGACAAAAAGCGACCCTTCGTTGTCTAGCAGCATTAAACAGAGGCGGAGTGGCGCATCACGACTTGCCTATTGTGAAGCCAAGGAGAAGAAAAGATGGACATCACGGATCAAGGAGCTCAAATGGAGCCGCTCTTGCCAACGGTAAGCCCAAATAGACACGTTATTGCTGTGCTTCTGTTCAATTTTGGAGAGGGTCGTTTATAATGGTGGGCTAACCTGAATAAACTGTTGGTCCGCAGTTTATTTCTCTGTGGATCAGACACAGGATAACACCAATCTGTGGTTCATTTTTTGTACATTTGTGTTTCTAAATGACCGATATTTGGACCGCTCCACCGGCTACATGTCGCCTAGATATCATGACAAACATGGATGTTGCGCACCACAAATGGGGGATAAATTCTCCTTGTGCACAGTTCATATTTGGGTGAAAGATTATGCATCCCTCATAGAGTCCATGCAGTACACACTCTACAAACGCCCTTTGCCATCACACAGAATGCATTTGTGATGCACTGTACACAGCAGATGCATTTCAGGTATATTTCATGTGTTCCCTGATGTCTGCAGAATATTTTATGTGTCACCCAAATCATATTGTTTTTTGTCTTCCATATGAAACTTGCTGTCAAGCTGTTGCTTTAAGTACACAGTACTGCGGGTCCAAGATGTTGCTCTGAGATGAGAGCATGAAGTGTTTGATCCAAGCAGTGAGGAGACAGAGGGGAGCATATGCCTCATCAGTTGGATGAAAGGAGCTCTGTGTACATTTGTCTAGTCTGAGCAGCACTGGATTGTTATTCATATTCTAATTGGCCTATTCTGACTGCATCACTTAGAGATTCATGATAAAGTAATCCAGCTGTTCTACGTGTTTACACAGTAGTCTTATCGTCCCTCAGCCTGAGCGATGGAGAGATGCAGCACAAGCATCCAAACCTGTGGTTTATTCAGCTGAGGGATATCAACTGGTCAGAAACGTGTCCACTCAGGTCAGAGCCCTCCGATCCCCACTGGCACAGTTTCAAACGAGCACGTCTCAAACACAACCTATTGGGCCACTTGAAGGCAGAGCCTGCTTCTGCGGTCAGCCTCTCCTCATTAGCATTCAGGTGAGACTGTGCTCAGAAGAACAAAAAATGTCCGCTACCTTGGATGTACTGCCAGCGCCGGAGGAGAGAAATGAAATCTATTGCTGTGTACTGACCATGCAGTGATTGCTGTACAGGCAAATCAATACTCTTCCTTTTTGTTCTATTTGTGGATGCGTTACATGATGACTTAGTTTTTAGAGCTTACAGCGTACAGTGGAGCCTGACAGGGCTGATGTGCTGTGGGATGGCTCTTCTGTTTTCCCTGCAGTCTCAATGCAGTGTGCTTCTTCCCTGTCATTGTAACTCATTGCTGCTTCCCCTGTCCCTCCTCCTACGCAGCAAGCGTTGTCATGGTTTCACCAAGATGTGTATGAGTATGTGAGGTGTTAGCATGGTGAGATTCTCAGGGATTCCTCAGTACACAACATGGCTAGAAAAAAAGCATCATATTGTTCCCTGTTCTGCCAGGTTACCAAGTTTACAAGGTCAAGCATGAGAGTATCCTTAGTTTACTACGGGAAGGACTGCATCTGAATGCATCATTTCTGGTGCCATGTCTCTCTGCTGCCTTTGAATTGGGGCACTTGAGTTGCCTTCATGCCGGGGAATTTCTTACCAGATCATTTGGCATGACAGTAATGTACTCCCGTGCCTCGCTTTTGTCTTGCTGATTGATTTCTTGATGTTCTTTGACTTGCAGGAACAAAGTTCCCAGGAAAGTAAAGATGTGGTGAGTACATTTCTCATGCTCTTTTTCTGGCCTGCTAACGTCACATCAGCGGGAGGATACCTCATTTTAATGCACTTGGTAGAATCCTGTTAAAATGCCACCTGTTTAAGACACATGGATAGAATCAGGACATCGATACTAAACAAAATAAAGGAACACAAGTACATGGCAAGACAAGTGCTCTGTTAATTAAAAGGAAATCTGTAAGGGGTTTTGAGTAGGGCTATATTATAATATGTTCTCTCAGATAATGTTTACAGTCATGAAACAATGATGCATTTATACTTTATACTTCTAATTTAACACATGTAGGATGGAAATACTGTCTGATCACTACAATTATATTTATTTCACAAAAGTTATAAAATAGAATACGATAGATTTCGTTTATTTTCATTGCACAGCAGTTAAGCAGCAATCCTGTCAGTGCATTCACACAATCAGCCATCTTTAAAAGTACAACAGGAGTATCGTGTTATAGTGGCTGTAATCGATGTTTTGTATCAGTGATGGGATCATAGGTTAACTTGCATGTGAAAGGGATCAGTCAGGATTGAGTTTGCCTTGTAACATGTGGTTAATGTTGTGAAAGTGTTGATTTGAACATAAACCACGATCTTTTCCTAAACTTAACTGACTAATGTTACTGCCCAGAGCGAAAATGAAACTTGAATAAAAAAAAGGAAACAAAGCAAAGTGAAAAAACAACAGTCCACCTCAAGATACAAACCTCTCTCGTGGGTGAAGCTCCTGTGACCGACGTCTCCACCCCCCCGCCTCCTAATGAGGCTGTTTTAAAGTCAAATAACTCCTCTATGTGTGTTGGCACTGCATCCACGGACAGCACAGTTGTTCGTATCTATCAGGGCCCTGGGGCTTTGACATCATGGCAGTAATTGACACTTGATCCAAAATGGAAGATTAAATCAACAAGTCATTGATGGATATTCAAAATTTTACCAAAAGCAAAATTAGAGAAAATTTCCTGCAAGAACAGCATGTGGTGAACTTCTTCTTCGCTCTCTGGCCAACCATCTGTTGACCCCTCAGATTTGTCTTAGAAAACGCTGCCCCAAAGGTTTGATCACGTTTAACTGTTAATCCACATTTTCAATAATCTGTAAACTACAGTAATATTGCACAACTGTGTGTGGCTTATATCTGTAATTAGACAGCTTGCTCAGCAGCTGTGGAGTGTTTTTAGATCACAATAGTCACACATGTCACCGTACATCTGGCATCCACAACATGGTGACATAAATAAATAATGATAGATAATGGGAATTAAGTGGAGTTAAGGCTGTCAGCATCTGAAACGGCTTCGAAGAGCGTGCAGGGTATGAGTGTAAGCAGACAACTGAGCCAGCCATGGAGAAGAGTTTTGATGTGTGCATGTCATCTGTTCTGACAGAATATTGCTTATGCAACTGTGGGCTGAGAGCCAGACTGAGGACAAGACTGAACACAAAGTGTCTGCCTCTGGCTAAACTGCAAATCCTCCACTTACTAGAAAATCTTCTCATCTTCGAGAAAATTTCCTCCCCTTAGGACTTCTGTATTACAAAGTACTGTGAATAGGCAGTTACATTTGTCCCTCTTGTTGTTTCTCAATAGTTGAGGTTATTCAAATAATATTGTGACTCTCTGGATGTAGGCTGCTGGTATAAGCCTCTCATTGGCCGATAATCTCGGTCGGCGATGTCCCCCTTTTCCGCTTTTGTTCACCACAGGAAACGGCAACAGCAACCTGTGGGCTGCAAACAACTGCACTGAAAATTAAACCGAAGCATAAACGGGGTGCCGCTATAGCTCACCTGGTTGAGCTGGTGTCCCATCTACAGGGGCTGTAGTCCTCGATGTGGAGGTCATGAGTTTGAATCCCGTTCATGGCCCGTTTCCGCAGGTCTTCTTCTCCCCCACTTTCCTGTCTCTCTCTGTACTGCTCTATCAAATAAAAGCAATAACGCCAAAAAAATAACTTAAAAAAAACCAAACTGAAGCATAAACGTCTTGCCGAGGATTCGTATCGTGCAGTCGGGCAGCTCTGCCAGTTTTTTACTGAGGATTATTCATTTTAATGACGGCGCTTGCTTGCATGCAAAGGTTTCACCACATCTGTTTCACCCATCACTCTTTTGAGGGAACACCAAAGCTGCATAGTTCCCTTAACCCCGCCCACGGCACTGTAATTGGGTTAAAGAAATACAAACAAGTCAGAGCGTTTCTTTCCCCTTGTAGCAGAACGGTTGTGTGGTGCAGCAAAATGAAACTAATCAAAAATCAACTCGAGGTGAGCTCTAGCAGTAGACAAATCAAAGTCATAGAAAAGGTGTCTCAAAGTGGTGTTCAGTAATGAAGATCGAGTATAAATGTCAGGAAAAAATGATCAAATCTGACGTTACCATGATTATACCAACTGTTACAATTAGATCAAGTTAAATCTTAGTATTTGAATAAATCCAAACATAATCTCAGAAATAATTTAAAAACTTGAAAGAACCACATTTTTCATGAATTTAAAAGACTCTCATGAGCTATAGCTAAAATATGATAAATATTTCCTGAAGCTGTGTAGTACCAGCCATTAGTCATCCACATTCAAGTCTTGCTGGGTGTAAAGCTCCTCTTTTGTAAAAGTGGAGCTTTATCATTAATCAAATATTTTGCATATATTTTTTTGCAGATTTTTAATGAAACAAATGTTGTTTTATTTCTGTAGTTTGGTGACTCATTGAGCGTTAGATGAGAAAGATTATACAACTCTAATGTCTTCAAATAAAACATGAAGCAGCAGCCAACAGCTGGTTAGCTTAGCTTAGCATCAAATACTGGAAATGGTCTTTGTAGGTTTTGTTGCCGTCTGCAAAACCACAACTTCTTATTTTTACACTTAGTTTTTTTGGATTTAATGAATTAGAATAAGTGCTTAGCTTAGCATCAAAGACTGGAAACTGAGAAGCAGGTAGCCCGACTATGTCTGAAGGTAGCAGCACCCATTTTGGATATTGTTGTCACTCAGTAAGCATGATTTCCCGGTGGGGGCTTCTTCCACCTTCTTCACCACTTAGTAGCTTGTTATCACCTTATTTAATCGTGCTGGAGCTGCAATGTTGCCCTTATGAGGGATTGTTGGAGGGATAAAGCAGTCTTGAGTTAACTCTCTTAACCTTTTTATATAGTATTACTTTACTACTTAAATCTTGTTTTGACTTTTTGTCGCTTTGTGTTTACTTCAGTCAGTGTTTGGTTGAGTTGAGGTACCAAAACCTTTCAGTCAGGCTGAGGAAGGTCTTTCCTACAATATGTGATCAGAGTTACTTTCAACTTTACTGTCGTAATTGCCAGTTGTCACGTAACTGGCAATTTACTTCTTATTTAAAACTTCTAATTAACACATCAATATTTAATTTGTATAAAAACCAGAGTGAGAATGGCAAGTTGTGGTTCTACCATTACGAACGCAAGACCATGAAGGCGGATTGGATTTGTCAAAACATTCCTGCCTGAAAGTGCTTTTTCAAGCTGTCATCTTTATTCACATTTGTTGTAGTTTTGAACTCGTATGAAATGTGCTGGAGACTGACCCGTGGGAACTTTTTACCAAATGCATCCAACACATTCACTAATTGATCGAAATCTTATGCACCACCTGGGCCACCACATGACTAATGAGATCTCCAGAATAACACAAGTATTGGGCAATGAATAGACAAATTCTTTGTTGTACATCATTTTGCACTCTTCGACTATTGCCCTTCATGAATGGAAAAAATATGGAAGTTTCATTGAGTCTGTGTTCCCTGTAGGTGAAGTGTTAAAGCGTGACGCACTGTTTACTTTACTATTGTCACACTGTGATTTGACAGAAGCCGTGAGTGATTAAACTCTTGACTAGTCCAACATGGTTACATTATTTTTCTATTGATGCGTCTGTGCCAGTCAGAAGACAGTACTTTTGTAGACATGGTGTAGTTTGTTGTACATTGAAAGTTGCAGCGTAGTTTTACAGAAAGTCTCACACCCATATCAACCTTCATTGAACTCAAGTGGACCTGGTCTGGGATGGGACTCGGACTTGACTGGTGTGGTCCTAATTAGAACCCTGACATAACAGCAGGCTCCCTGCCAGGCTGTCCAGTTAGGGCTGGGCGACTGTCCGGGTTGGAGAAGATCAGTGAGAACAGACGGAGGAAGTGTGCTGGAGCTGCCCGGGCTTGTTCTTTTGAGCATGGTGTTCTTGGATCAGTGTGAAATCTCTGTTCGACTTGATGATCCAACTGTGCAAAACTGGCAGGCAGGCAGGAAGCCTCCCCACCACAGCTAGGAGCCTAGACCGGCTGTGCTCCTTTCCATGGTTAATTATAGCAGTATCAGTGGAGAGGAGGGTGAAGAGGGCATGGAGGTAGGTAGAGGAAGAGGATACAGCTCTGGAGAGAGAATGTGAAAGACAGATGGTTAGATGAGGAGAGAGAGAGGCTTAAAGAAAATTAGATTGGGCACTGTTAAGTGTAATTTAGCTGTCTGATCTAACCCTTGAATGTTGCAATACTAAGTGCCATCTTTGCTAATAGAATTCTCAGATATATCAGATCACACAAACCACAAAGACAGCGTTATTGTAATTTGACAGTTGTCTCAGGCGGCGCTGCAGAAATATCTGCTGGTTCCTCCGGATCTGTTTCTAGCACACCATGTCTTGATCACAGTTTCGCTGACAATGCACTACAGCCAGAGAGCAGCTTCTTTGCCTCAGGTAGGCTCTGCAGACACACACACGCACCTATTTGTGATGCATATACTGTATACAGAAAGACTGCATGACCACCACCCTGCTCACTGCTTCTTCTGCTTGTGGTGTGTGGTGACCTGAGGTCGCAAAAGTAGCTGTGAGGTGTTCCAGACCCTCGTGCATAGTGCTGTTCGACCCAAGACTTCTCTTAGGTAACAGAGCCACAAAGCTCGGAGGCTCAGCACAGCAGAACTGTGCACGGCACAGCATC